CCAAGCTTGCCGTTTGCCAGGCCTCAAACCCTCCAAACCCTCCAAACCCCTAAAACCCCTCAAAGGCCCCTTCAATGGCTTCTTATAGGCTTCCAGCGCCCACATCCATGGCTTCTTATGGGCGTCCAAGCTTGCCGTTTGCCAGGCCTAAAACCCTCCAAACCCTCCACACCCCTAAAACCCTTAAAACCCCTCCAAACCCCTAAAACCCCTACAAGGCCACTTCAATGGCTTCTTCTGGGCTTCCAGCGCAGGCAAAAGCCCACATCCATGGCTTTTTCTGGGCGTCCAAGCTTGCCGTTTGCCAGGCCTAAAACCCTCCAAACACCTAAAACCCCTACAAGGCCACTTCCATGGCTTCTTCTGGGCTTCCAGCGCAGGCAAAAGCCCACATCCATGGCTTTTTCTGGGCGTCCAAGCTTGCCGTTCGCCAGGCCTCAAACCATCCATGGCTTTTTATGGGCGTCCAAGCTTGCCGTTTGCCAGGCCTAAAACCCTCCAAACCCTCCAAACCCCTAAAACCCCTAAAACCCCTAAAAGGCCACTTCAATGGCTTCTTATAGGCTTCCAGCGCCCACATCCATGGCTTCTTATGGGCGTCCAAGCTTGCCGTTTGCCAGGCCTAAAACCCTCCAAACCCTCCAAACCCCTAAAACCCCTAAAAGGCCACTTCAATGGCTTCTTCTGGGCTTCCATCGCAGACTGTGGGCTATCAAGACAGTCCCTAGCAACCTTTCGCACAAATAAAGCATGCGTAGCTGCAGCGATCTCCACAGGAGACATGCGCATTAGAAGGTCTTGGATGTCTTGGGGTGTTTACTTTTGCGAATGGAATGCATGTAATGTACTATATATATATACATACGTATGTTTAACAATGTTTAGGCCTAGCCGTTTGCTGGGCTTCTTGAGTGGCTCTATGTCTGCGCACTTCTTCCTCCACCCTTGAAAAGGGGTCGGCGGCACCAGGGCGTTAGCCCATTTATAATTAGGATATTCAAAAAAAAGACATCCAGCTATTGGGGATCATAAATTGGAAACCTCTGCTTTGAAAAACAGCAATCAGATCTGAGAGCCGGACAACTTCCCAGGGCCGGTCCTGAAAAAACACAGATCAGTGCGGCCGCCAGACTCGACCACACCCCAATGGTCTGACCTTGTCCTGTCTCGAAGCATTGGACACATCATACAGGGCTTCGCGGCCTGGAAATTCTCTGGAATATCAACATCAGGTATGCCATGGTACGCCATGGTATGCCGTCACCACATTGTCAGCACATTGTCACGATATGTCTCGCATGAATTCGCAGGATTGGTCCAATTGGTGCCTTCTGCGGAACTTTCAAGTGCAGCTGACCCCAACTGGGACTCTTCAGCTGCATGTCCATTTTCGGACCTTCGCTGCCCGCTTTCCTGCAAGACTCAGAAACAAGGTGAAATCAAACAAATCTGAAATTGGCCTCTGTTTTGCACCCGAAGACATTCCGAAAGCTTTCGGAAACTTATTTTAGCGGCAGCCTCTCCTCGAAATACGCCTGCCCTGCCTCAGCGCACAAGTCTAGAAAGGGATCTTCTGACATTTTCCGAGCGAAGTACCAGGTACCACAAATACCAAGTGCCACTGCAAGAGCCACTGCAAGTGCCATTGCAAGTGCTGTAATTTAATGTAATTCATGGATATTCAGTAGAAAGGGGTGTAATGATCAGTACTGCATGTTCAGTGAATATATGTGAATATTCAACGCAATATCTGACACAAGCTGAGGCCAGCACTCGATTCTTGCGCCTTATTTAGTGTCAACATTCAGCTCGAAACGGCCAACAACTTCCCTCCTGTTTCACATCGTTTCGCTCAAAATCTCGGGCGCTTTGAAAAACATCGTTTCAACACCGCAGCGTTAGAGCCGGAAATGAAAAAAGGATGGAAAAAAACAACAAAAAAATACAAAAAAAACATGCATGATGTCATGATATAAATCATGCAAGACGTTTTGACAGAAGAGAGGACCCCACGTTGCTGGTATGCGAAGCGCAAGTGCACGCCATGCCTCAAGATATGAAGGGTTTGCGTAGGGAAACAATTGATGCAAATGTGAATCAAGGATGCAAACTGTTGACATCTGTTGACAAACACTGTGTCAGTTCTACAATATCTATCTGTGTCATATCTGAGTCATATCGTCCCAAATGCGAGTGGAATTGAGACTGTGATGGCTCGCCTCGCCTCGATCTCTTCACACGGAAAAGTTCGAGGTTCTTGTCTGAGACGGAAAACAAAAGCATGGCGCCATGACAAAGATATGACAAAGAAACATAAATCTAAATCAAAACCATCAAAACATGAGAAACACACCAAACTTTGGAGGTAGTCACTTCGGAAACTCGGCAGTCACTCTTCACACATCTGCCTCTTTGATTTTTGGTCTGCCTGGTTTCCACGGTTTCCAAATCATCATGGGCTCCCCAACGTAGGACCACAGCCACGAAAGAGTTGACTTCCAGGTAGACCTTGAACCAGTGCTGAACAGCAAGGCTGGCGCTGTTCACTTCCGCTGGTGTGACGACTTGATGCTGACACGACACGGTTACACGACACGTTTCCTGACTGCCAAGAATTGATGACACACTGGTTGAGAAGAAAAGTTTTCTGTGCTGTCATAGTTCACATGGTTCGATCTCAACCATTATCATACTCCTTCCGCAAAATGGAATTCCAGTCCTTGAATAGGCTACCAAAAGTTTAAAACAGGTGCCTCCAACCCCCCCCAAAAACTCCGACATTTCAGGTTGAGAAAAAAAATAACTAAACTCACTCAGGTGCACACACTGAGCAGAACGACGTCTGCAGGAGGACAGCGCCTACTGTAAGGCATGGTCATTAATGCGTTGTACACGGCACAGCCGATGATCTCCACCTATCACCATTCTAAACCTCCGGACTTTTGATGGGTATCTTATGGTATTACCTCATCTTGGTCGCCACAATCCAAGCTGTCTAAAGAAATTATTTTCGAATCAGGTGACTTCAAGTGTCAGCTTTGAATTCGCCTCCTCCAAAAGTCTCACATTCGAAGCCAGCTCTTCGTTTCTTCTCCGCAACGCCCTCAGCCTGCAACAAATCGAGGTTTCAGACTGTGGCCATACTCTATAGGATGTCATACCCATAGGATCCATGTATGGTATATATGCTAACATTTGGGGTATATTGATGGTAAATGTTACCATATATAGCATACATGGATCCTATGGGATAGGCTTCCCCATGGCTTACGAAAGCAGGAAATGCTTTCGTAAGCTTCGAAAAGCTTCCTGGCGGCCTCTCTTCCGCTGCGGTAATGCGAACTGCCACCGTATCCCTGGCTGAGCGGAGCACAACATCTGTCCCGAAACCGGGGCGTTGAAACAACGGGCCTTTCGAGACTCCAGGCTGTCCGGCTACGACTTAGCCGGTGGCCTTGATTCACAACCCAAAAATCCAACAGCCATTGAACTTGGGAAAATCAGATGTGTTTTTCAATTACGAAAAACAGATGTTTTTCAAAAGTGTGAACTGCGAAAGAACTGAAGTCAGCAAAACCATTTTGAAATATTTTGAATGATATCAAAAATATATCAAAAATATATCAAAATATGGTTTTGAGTCAAGCCACAGTACACCTCAGCTTCGGCCAGAAGATACGCCTCCTCTGCCAGCATCAAGCCATTGCGCTGGAACCGAAACCGTCGCCGGAGTCGCCGGACTGTTTCTACATGTTTCTACCGTTAGCGTTTCTGAGGTGTTGTGGTTGTTTTTCAGGGCGCCTTTCAGATCTCAATGCGAACTTTCGAAACCCAAAGTTTCAACTGAAGACCCATTTTTGTTGTCTCAAAGAGAGCCCTTCCTACTTGAGCAGTGACCCTACTCTCCAGCTCAGTTGTTGCTCGATTCCTTTGGCAGGTGTCAGTGGTGCAAAGTGGAGCAAGAGTATGAATCTATCTCTTCCAGCATCCATTTTGATACCTCCTAAGGACTTCTCCTCTTTGTCATTGCTGGCGTCTTTCGTTCTCAAGTAAACTTCTTGTCTCAGCTTCACCCCGAAGCACATCAGTCATGTACCTCTTAGTCAATGCTCTCTGTGTGGCAGGTACAATTTGCACCTTTTGGTTTGAACCTGTCTAGCAAAAAGAATGTCATATCTGCTGAATCTAGGAGGCTTCGAGTGACTCCAACTAGATCACACACCATCTAAACATATCTAAACTCCTTCCCACAGAGGAAAACAACGCTGGAGTTCGCATCCTGGCATGTGAACATATGGTGAAAAACCATGTTTTTTATCATGTGATCCAATAGCTCATGAGAAGATATGAGAAGCTTGCATGGCAAAAAAAAAACTATTTGAGGACATATTCAGACATGCCAATTCTATCACATCGAATCCCTCTCTTGGGTCACATCCTTCTTCTGAGTGTTTTCAACTGGTGGTGTGAATTTTGTCTATAGCCTGCTGCTTTTCCTTTCTAAACATGATGAACTTCCGAATTCGCGCAAGTTCAGAGGGACCAATCTATGTAGGGCGCCGCTTAAACGATGACTTATTGGTCGGTGTCTTCAGATCTGGTGATCAGGTAGTGGATCTGACACTGCTGGAACTGAGAATGTGTTTCTCCACCCTTAAAATAATTGTTTCTTTCGGTCAGTTGAAAAGTGTTGAAATTGTCGGAACGCAGATCATTTTTACATGTTGCCAGCCACCAGCTACCAATCTTCCACCAATCTTCCACCAATCTTCCACCAATCTTCCACCAATCTTCCACCAGTCATCCAGAATGTCCCACCCTTTTCGAATCGGCTTCGAAAATAGCGCAGCGAATCGGCCAAGGAGATGGTGTATCACATCACCAGCTTTACCAGCTTTGGGAGCTAAATCACTCTTGTTGCACATGGAAAGAACAGGAAAGAACCAAGAAAAACATAGGAAAAACGATCACCGGATCCGGCTCCAAAATGAATTCCATCATCTCAGAATATCTCAGATCTCAATATCAGAAAAAAACAGAAGGAGTACAATCTGAAGCTCCAAGGAAACCGGCTTGGGCACAGGGCCCGGGAGCGGAGAATAATTGAGTTTACAAGGCAAACTGGTCGTTCGGCATTTCACCAGAATGGCGCCTGGCGCCATGCGTAAGCAGTGTTCAAAATCCGATAAACCAGGCAGCACATACAGCAGCCCTGTGTCATCATTCATCAAAAGGATTCTGGTCCTGGTAAATGTCCGGTTGTTGATGTGTTTCAACGTCACCAGGGCGGGTTACTGGGTATCACTCGCCCGATTCTTGGTGTTCACATGGGACCGTTTAGCAATTCTATCCAGACTGCAAAACGCAGCACTCAGGGTTTTTTGGTAACATATGGAGATGTCTAACGGGGTATACCCCCAAATTTGGGCAACATGATGCTTAACCATTGGATTTAGATCTGGGGGTAGTCTATTTTCAGACAAGACGTCATGTTGCTAAGAAGGATCTTTCGAAACAACACCCGAAGCTTCCAGTGTGCTCGTGGTCACAAAATATTCACTCACTTTCTGGCCAAAGTCTTGCAAAATGCTACTCCAAACTTTTCATGGGAAACCAATGGATTTAGGAATTTAGGGGCTTCAAATTTTGAACACAAAAACTAAGTCACTGCAAAGAGTCAAAGAGCCCGAAAATCTGAGAAAGCATCAGGTTGGGCGTAGACTGCGTAGACTTTGGCCAGAGAGAGCTGATAAAGACTTGCCAAATACGACGGTTGAGTCCTGGCAAATCCTGGCAAATACGACTTGCAAATCCTGGTTTCAATCTGTTTCAATCGGAGTTTCAAGACGTCGGACTGCAACCATCGTCGGAAACGCGGAAGATTGAAACAGATTTCACGAGTCGAAGCATTGGGGATTTCGCGGCGCGGCAGTCCCTTGTGACCCAGCTACCTTGGTCGAACTCGCGACAGTCGGTTGCTTCTCAGTGTTTAGTAACTTTAGTACGCACTTTTCGATACGCACGCACTTTTCGAAGCACGGATTTCTAGTTTTTTGAGAATGTCGCCATGTCGCAATTTGTATCAAACTGCACTTCTGACCCTTGACCATTTCTCCGAGACTCTGTGAGTCATCTCCAAAGGAAGGCAGAGGAAACCACCAAGGCCTTGGCCGAATCATTTTCCTCATGCCTTCCCTTTTTTTAGGCTTTGATTCCAGTTGAGCCACAGGAATCATGGTGGGAATCATGGTGATTCATAGATTTCATCAGAAGTTTCACCATGTTTCACAGATCATCCATTGGATCCATTGGGGCTCCACATGGCTCCCCATCTTCTGAGAAGGTACCACTAAAAAGAGCCCGCAAAGGAGACTTGGTCGTCCCCGGCGAACTGCTGCCTGGGGCCACTGGGCCACTTCTAGCAGCTTTGAAGTGCCAGCTATGTTCCAGCTATGTTCCAGCTATGAATGGCGATTATCTCGTAGATTTAGCGAAGGGGGTATGCCTGTATGCAATTCTAGTGGAATTGGCGTTCTGAAAAGAACTTGCCGCTGGAATCAAATCTGATGGTTCTCGATGCAAGTGTCACGACCACACCACCACACCACCACACCACCACACCACCACACCACACAATTCATTCCCACAGACCCTCTCCCACGGTTGCATCCCCACGTAGCGCGACATCAAGTATGACAGTGGTCGAGTATTGCCTTGTCCCTATTCATAGCTCCAAGAAGGCTCCAGAAGCTATGAACGGCAACGGCCAAGCGCTGAATTCATTGGCTCCTCTTACTATTTTACCAGCCATTCTTACTTATCCTAGAAAATGGAATCTCTAGCCAACAAAGCTCCAAACCTCAAGGTATTCTGCCCTTTTCGCAGCACAGACCCGGAAAGAAATCCTCAATTTACTCGCCTTCTCCAACATACTGCGAAGGCAGCCGGACAGAGGCAGCCGATCACCTGAGTGGATGGCGACAGAATCTTCCCATGATTTCATGTAAAAAAGGCCATTCTTGGACTCCAAGTGATGTTTCAAGCTCCAAAAAACCACATGAAAATGTTTTTTTTAGGACTCCTGCTTTCCAAACATGTTTTTAACTGCAGGCCTGGCCTGCCACGTGCATTTTCTTCTGGTTTGGATGACTTCCTACTTCGGCAACATGCATTCCCCTCCTTTTGCAGAGTGGCTGGTGTTTGACGGCACCAAAAGAGGGGTCGATGCAGTGTCTGAAGAAGCCTGAGCAATCCAGATCGAGGTTTATGGCTATGGAAAGTGGGAACCTCTTCAGGTCTCATGGGTGAAACCAAATGACCAAAAAGCGGCAAAACCGTGGTGTTCTTTTTGTGCGAAACTTGCCAAGCGGTTCACATCGTAAGGGCAATGGGTCACTTCACCCTACCTTGCAGTTCACAGCAAAATGGCCGTTGCACTCAACTTTCAAAAAAAGTGCCCATTTTCATGGCATGATCCGTCTCTATAAATTCTCCATAAATTCTTTCCGTTTGGGTTCCAAATCGCCTTTGCTGTTCCTTAAATCCTCATTTCAAGACATTTTAATGGGCCAATGATGTACGAAGATGTATCTGCCTCAATCCCTGGCATCTGAGCTGCTCTAGATCCACCGTGTTCAGTCTTGTACGCAGCTCTTGCGAACCTTGGATGATCGGCGTTCAAACGCCTTGAAGGGCTTGGTGAATCACCACCTTTTTGTTGGTGAATCATGGTGAATCATGGTGAATCTATGAATTTCATGTCCAGATTCATCCATCTTGTTTGATCTTGATCTTGTTGCTGAATCTTGGTTGATGTTTCCCATTGCTGGTAGCTGCGGATAGATTTTGGGTCCAAACATCCACATATTCCATCGCCAACTTGTAGCAGGGACCATGAAGTGAAAGAATGCTGTGAGGCTTTGCAGTGAGGCAAGTCCTTGTGCCAATTCCAGTGACTATGTCATGGCTGTTCCACTGCGAATTGGAAACATCACACCTGAGTAATGACACCGGCGACACAATACATGACCCCAGATAGCAACCGTGTCTGTGACCCCAGCAGATCCAGCGAACCTCCAAATCAACCTTCTGCACGGCACCCACAGCACCCACAGAACCCACAGCACCCACAGCACGACAGGATGCTGAAACCTTCGCCACGGAGCACCCATGTTCCCCATGTAGTTGGAGTTTGCCAGCTGGACATGAGTATGGAACGAGACAACACTATGGCCCGAAAAAAAAAAATGAGATGAGAAAATAATACAAAAGAAGGCGTGCTGATGGATGATGAATGACGATGAAAATGATGAAGAATGATGATTACCCTCTGGTAATTTAACATAGCTATTGAAAATGGCAATTTATAGTTGATTTCTCTATGAAAAGTGGGGATTTTCCATAGTTATGTTAGTTTACCAGAGGGTAATGTAGACGAAATATCATACATCCATGGCACCTAAGTGGCAGTCAAAATAGCAATGTCAAACGAATCTAGCTGGGTTTTGTTTTGGTGGCAAACTGTCTATGCTGCTACTGACTTTTGAACAGTTCAAGATGCATTTTTCCATTCTTGCCAGATAGACATTACTAACCAATCAGGACGAAACATACGAAACCACATCTCCAAAATGAAGGGTCACCTCAGCGAAAAGCATTCTACGAGCGTGCGATTTTCTAGAAAAAATCACGCAGGCATAGAATCAACTGTCTTTGATCTTCCACAGAAGTCTTTGCACACCGCTGCCTTTACACAGAGCGCTGCTACACTTTTCACACACCGAATTTTTTTTACACACAGACGCCTTTACACACAGATTTTTTTACATAGAGAAGCCTCTACATAGAGCAGTTTTTACAGACAAACGCTTTTACACACGGAAGTTTTTGCACACAGATTTTTTTTACACCACCAAGAACTTTTTACACGCAAATGTTTTTGCACAAAGAGTTTTTTGCACAGAAACATTTTTACACACAGACACCATTACACGCAGTATTTTTTACGCACAGCAGCTTTTGACACTATATTTTTTACACAAAGAAATATTAACACACAGAAGTTTTTACGCAGGTCAGTTTTTACACACTAACATTTTTTGCACACCGAGACTTTCACTTTACACACAGAAGTTTTTACAAAGATATATTTTTACACAGAGCAGCATTTACACACAGACGTTTTTAAGCAGAGAAGCTTTTGCACAGAGAAGCGTTTACACAGAACAGTTTTTCCACACAAACGCGTTTACACACATGTTTTGTTTTTCACAGAGAAGCCTTTACACACCAGTTTTTACACACAGAAGTTTTTACATAAAGAAACCTGTACATAGAGCAGTTTTCACACACAAACGCTTTTACAGATAGAAGTTTCACACAGAGAAGCCGTTACGTTTTTGCTTTTACATACAGAAGTTTTTTTGACACAGACGCCTCTACACACTGATGTTTTTACACAGAGAAGAATTTGCAGTGCAGTCTTTATATGCTGAAGTTTTGACACAAAGAAGCCTTTACACAGAGCAGTTTTTACATGATGATGCTGATGCTGATGCTGATGCTGATGATGATGATGATGATGATGATGAAGATGAAGATGAAGATGATGATGAAGATGAAGATGATGATGATGAAGATGAAGATGAAGTAGAACAATTGATGTTGGCAGCAGTTCTTTGGGAAAAACCCTTCGCAGGAAATTTCGGCAAAAAACAGAGGTTGTCACTAAGTTGTCACTACTTTTGGCACACCCCCAAACTCTAAGCCATTCTCTGGTTCCATCGTGCAGTGCCAAGCCACATACAGTTTCTTATGTGTTCCTTGGTTTCCTCCGGGCCCATCTTGATCAGGTACCTTGGCACAGTCTCAGCACATCCTCATCGGCCCAACTTTTCAAATACCATGGGCAAACAGCAATGGACACGCTTGAACAAACATCGATGGTCGGAAACCTTCAAAACTTCAAAAAGAACAATGCTCAACTTCCTCTGTGAGGGCGTTTACTTGCTTGAAACCAGTGCCCAATCGATCCTCGTTTCAGAGGAATGAAGACCTGAACCACCTTCGACCTTCAGACCTTCAGGGGTTCCAAGGGCCCAACTCGAACTCTGCCAAGTGAACCTGGGTATGTCAAAGAAATATTCCAAACATTCGAAGCAAATGGCTGAATTTTATATCAAGCTTGCAACTGTGTGTATTTGTGTCTTGGTGGTTCTGAACCACAAACACACTTGCCCCTGCAGCACCCTGCAGCGTAGAGGGCAAGGAACCCAATCAACAAGCTTGGCAGTGTCTGCATCGCATCTATACATTAGTTACATTACATTACGTTACATTACCATTACATTTACATTTACATTTACATTTACATTTACATACTCATACATACATGCATATATATATATATATTTATAAATATATGCATATGCATATGCATCCATAATATGTATAGGCGTATGTACATATACATGTATGTAAAAGGTATTTATTTGTCAATATCTTATCATCAAATTCGGATTTGTATTCTTGTATGTGTCTTTCTTTCTTTATTTTATTTCTTCTGTCTTTCTATTCTTTCTTATTTAATATTTCCTTTTATTGTGGCTATTCAACCTTTCTTCCCTTCTTAACTGTATGTAACTGTATGTAACTGTTTAACTGTAGTAACTGGTGTAACTGTATGTATGTATGTATGTATGTATGTATGTAACTGTATGTAACTGTATGTAACTGTATGTAACTGTATGTAACTGTATGTAACTGTATGTAACTGTATGTAACTGTATGTAACTGTATGTAACTTTATGTAACTGTATGTAACTGCATGTAACTGTATGTAACTGTATGTAACTGTATGTAACTGTATGTAACTGTATGTAACTGTATGTAAATGTATGCAACTGTATGCAACTGTATGCAACTGTATGCAACTGTATGTAACTGTATGTAACTGTATGTAACTGTATGCATGTATGTATGTATCTGTATGTAACTGTATGTAACTGTATGTAACTGTATGCAACTGTATGCAACTGTATGTAACTGTATGTAACTGTATGTAACTGTATGCATGTATGTATGTAACTGTATGTAACTGTATGTAACTGTATGTAACTGTATGTAACTGTATGTAACTGTATGTAACTGTATGTAACTGTATGTAACTGTATGTAACTGTATGTAACTGTCTGTAACTGTCTGTAACTGTCTGTAACTGTCTGTAACTGTCTCTAACTGTCTGTAACTGTCTGTAACTGTCTGTAACTGTCTGTAACTGTCTGTAACTGTATGTAACTGTATGTAACTGTATGTAACTGTATGTAACTGTATGTAACTGTATGTAACTGTATGTAACTGTATGTAACTGTATGTAACTGTATGTAACTGTATGTAACTGTATGTATGTATGTATGTCTTTTTGTCTGTGTGCATGTATGTATGTATGTCTGTCTGTCTGTATGTCTGTCTGTCTGTCTGTCTGTATCTGTCTGTCTGTCTGTCTGTATGTATGTCTGTCTGTCTGTATGTATGTATGTATGTACATGTGTGTATGTTTATATATATATATGTATGTATATATATATACGTATGTATGTGTATATATGTATAAGTGTGTTTATGTATATATATATGTGTGTTTATATATATATGTATATATGTGCGTAAATGTATATATACATCTTATGTGCTATATGTGTGTATGCATGTGCATATATATATATATATCGATACTACATACACACACGTTTGTTCCATGTGCTTGCTGGCGCCTAGACCTATCGTAATCTTCTTGGTGCACATCAGATTGCTTTCATCTCTGCCGAGCAAACAACCAAATCCCATCTCTGCCGAGAGTCAGGGTGACTAGGTTTCACTGTGTTGTCGTAGCAAATGAGACCTGGGCATTTTTGCTGTCCATAGATCCATGCAGGTCTCAATAAAAATGGAATAGTGATCCTCTAGCAATTTTTATATTCTATAGGTAGTTGTATTAGTAACTGTGTTAGCGACGTTTTTCTATCTCTTTTGGATGGAGAACTCAACAAAACATCCACCAACCACCACACTAAAGTTCCAACCCATTTGGTCCAGCCACTACCATAGTGACGATTGCTCTCCTGGATCTTCAGGTCGAAATGTCGCCCGAATTCCAGGGAACCTGAACCTGGGTGTTCAAGGGATTGTTTGAAGGGAATTTTTATAGGAAAAGAACATTGTTGTTGGTATTTTTTTTAAGTGTAAAACATCATTGTCCGTGATTTTTTCCTTCGTTTCCCTGATTCAAGAAAGGCTCAAGTAGCTGACATTTCACAAAGCCACAAGGCTGAAAAACGTTTTTGGCCAAGAGTCAGCTTGGCGTGTGAAATTTCGGCGCATATGCTTTTCCAGCCTGGTGGGACCCAGTTTGGTGCGACCATTTTCATTCAATGGATTGGTTTAAGGGAAAATCTTAACCGGAAACCATAGATTTTCCCATTAAATATGGGGGCTTTCCTGTAAATGTTCCTTTAAACCAATCCATTGATTCATGGGATCAACCGGTTTTTTTCTCAGCGAGGTCACCAAAATTGGCGAATTGGCGCCTTCAATGATCGCTGGCTGCCCCGTTGCTGCACTGAATCCAAAGGAGCCCACAGGCAAATGGCGTGCATCTCGTAATCCTCGGCCAGAAAAAGGGCGGTCCAATGGATTGCAGAGGATATTATGTTATATTATGTATAATGTAGTGTGTTATATTGCGAAAAAAATGTTATTATATTGTGTGTGTGTAGCATTATGCATAATATAGCGTATCATTGTATGCTAATGTATATTATCTTATTGAATGTATCATATCATATCATGTCATGTCATGTCATATGATATTATGTGTATATATATATATGTATATATATAAACTTGTACAAGTGTGTGTGTGTATTAGATATATATATATATATTTATATATATATGTACCCGCCACCCAAGACCCACCCTTTTAACAATTTTAGCGGTATTTACATTGTTGTTCATACATTTCTGACCTTAAGAATTAGGGCATTTTTGGTGGATCAAAAATTTCTTGTTTGGGGGAATTTTGTTGCCACCCCACCCTTCCCAAAGTACATCGGATTCAAGATTCAAGATCCAGAAACAATGTCTTGAATCCAAGGGGGTCTGGATTCATCCAAGGGGGCTTCAGCCGGCTTCATCTTGCATCAATCCAGATAATCCAGAGAGGCTGGATCGAAGTTTTTCTGGGATCCAGGTACTTAGAGCACTGGCCGAAATTGCCACCAGAAATTGCAATTTCTAGTGACCGGCCGTTCTGCTAAGGGCATCTTATCAAGAACAACTACGCCTTTTTTGGGTGGTTTTAGATGGAAAAACCAACCATTCTCTGAACAGTTGTTGTTTTTTGTTTGTTTCGTTTTTTCAAGGTTTTGCTGTAATGGATATCAACATCCTTTCAGAGCAGCAGCAGTAGATTCAGCACGATATTGCATAGTTCTAAATTGGGCTGGTGAGCAAAGCACACACTTGCAAGTATGCAGACTGAATCAAACACCATGTCTACTCAGCCACCTCTCATTGTGCATTTTTTGTTGGTCTTCTCATGGTTTGAGCACCCTCCCAGACCGTTTCTTAAAACCATGGGAGAAAATAAACGATAGCCTAGATTAGAAAATATAATGCTAAGTAGCAAGTGTCAGAATGGACTTTGGAGTTTGTTGTCAACGCAACATCTTCCGATATAGGCCTTGTGCAGCAGTATTTGTCAACAAACATGACATTCCTTGCATAAAGCCGCATCATTCGTTGAATAAAGTTACATCATTCTGCACAGTCACCTTACATAAAGGAGTGCAGCATTTCTTTGAAAGGAATATAATCATTGTCAATAAGACTTACAGCTGTGCAAGGTCATAAAGGAGTGCAGCATTTATTTCAAATGAATATAAACACATGTTCAAAGAGACTTACAGCTGTGCAAAGTTCTCTTAAAGAGGTAAAGGAAATTTATGGGAGGAGGACAGCATTCCGACAGAATGGAATCTTTTAAGTAACCATTTTAATCGAATGTGGTTGGTAGTCCTTAAAGAATGTGTTGGTGCAAGCATGTGCAAAGCCTCCTTCACAAGGGAGTGAACCATTTGATTGAAAACCATGCATTAATACAAAGAAACTGTACTATGAAGTAGAACCCTTGGTTGTATGTAGCGTTTTTTGGACTGTACAGGTCATGGTTGTATGTATGCAATATGCCCTTCCATATGAATGAAACATCTGAACAACATAGGCAACCTTATTTTGAAGAAGTAAAGTCTATCCACAAACAAATCTCAGGCAGAAAAAGTGAGAGGGGGGATCAACTTCAAAGGATGCATTGCATCTTTACACATATTGTATTGTTCTACATTAATACTATTTCTCATTTAGGGTAGGAATACCTTGTCTTCAAGGCAATTATTTTGAAGAAGTTAAGTCCTTTCCTTAAAAATGGTCATTCTCGAAAAATAAGAGGAAAGAACTCTATGAAAGGATGCATATCATCTTTCCACGCTTATAGTTTTCTTGCAAGGATAGTGCTTCCCTTTTTTGAGAGAAATACTGTATGATTGAACGAAGGCCGAATAATTTTATGAAAGGAACACTGCGCTGCTTCAGAAGGGAAAATCGCATGTTTAGAGGAATGCTCTATATTTTGTAGGGATCCTTCTTCTTTGAAGGACTCTACTGTTTTACTCAGTTCTTTCCGTTTGTCTACTTTATTTATACACGTACGTGTGTATATGTTATTTATGTGGCGCTATTCCCATCTGAAAAGCTGTGTCTTGGGGGGGTAGCATGTATATATATATATACATATACATGTATTTCATAGATACGTAGATACATAGATACATAGATACATACATACATACATACATACATACATAGATAGATTGATAGATAGATAGATAGACAGATAGATAGATAGATACATAGATACATAGATACATACATACATACATACATAGATAGACAGATAGACAGATAGACAGATAGACAGATAGACAGAGAGACAGAGAGACAGATAGACAGATACACAGATAGACAGAGAGACAGAGAGACAGATAGACAGATAGACAGATAGACAGGTAGACAGATAGACAGATAGACAGATAGATAGATAGATACATACATACATTTATATATATATATACACGCCTCAAAGCATGTATTTGGCCTTTCAACAGTAGCATCTACATTGGTATGATGACAGGACGCCACAGCGCCAAGAAACAGCATTCTCCATCTGCCTGAGCATTTGGTGGACCCGCTCCGGGTTCAGTGCACCTGAGCGGCTGGCTTCCCAGGGGAATTCCATCATTTGGAACCAATGTTGTTCAACAGTATCACAGGTGTTGAACACTGTTACACCCGCAAAAACGTGCGCTTTTTCACACTCCAAAGAGAAAGACATGGAAATGGTACAGGTACTATATAAAACTGGATCTAAGAGATCTTTGCTATCTTTGGTACTATATGAAGGGTAACGATCTCATCCATTAAAGCAAAGCGACACTCCGGAATGATCACGTCTTGTCGGTTCTGAACTGCCAAGTTCATGATTTCCTTCTTCAGGTTCTCCACATGCTTCGTCCCCTGCGAACGCGCGAACGCGGATGCTGCGGTTCAGGGCTCAGCTGGGAGCCAAAACTCAACAGTTGCAGCGGCCTTGAGGATGTCCCAGGCATCGGTGTGAAGCAGGTTGTGCGTCAAGCCGTGCTGGGCCACCTGAAGTTTTTCGGAGCAACGTGGCGCATGCTCCGAATAGGGCAGCAATCCCCACGGATTGCATATTTTTTCATATGTTTTTTTCCATATTGGGCCATTTTGGGAAGAACGGCCTGGTTTTTTGCCATATTTTCAGACACCACGGTTCTTCAATGAGGATTCCCCCCTAGCACCGGTCCTGGCTGAAGCCCTCATGCGCGTCTCTAACATCGTTTCCATCCACAACTCAGGCGGCCGGCAATGCAAGACGCAGCTAGAGATGGGGATGTCACTGCTGTCACTGGATTTTGCAGTACCCCATTTGCGCAGGCACAAACTAGATTTGCAACAGGTTTCCTCTTCCAGAGCTCTCCCAAGTTTCATATGTTCAAGATGACCCCTGCTTCTGACATGAATTTCCCCACAGAAACAAAATATGTTTTCGCAGTGGCACAGTGGATGCTTGGTTTCAGGCTCACCACATTTCCTGCATTGTCGAAAATGCTTTTGGCGACCTGCGCATGTGCACCGATTTACCGATTTGCGAAGGGAGACTATAAACTACATACATACCATATACATATAAAAATTGTATAAATCACATATATCTTATGTATAGAATGCAGCTGCCAGGCAGGTAAAAAGTGAAGGAATCAAACAAGTGGCTGATGCGGGAGACGCACTGCAACGTGAATCGGAAAAAATGACCAAATTTTCAATGTGATATGCATGCGGACATGATACTGTGCATTATTCTAGAGAAGAAATGTGGATATGCGGTGCGCTTTTAGTAGCTTTCTACGTCTAAAAGGACTTCCATTCATTTGCAGTCTTACAGCTGCTTCGCCCTAGGCCTGCTTTCGTGCAACGAGATGCTGAGCTGCGAAGCATCAAAAAGACGGATCTTACTGCTGGATGTGCTGGATCCCCGATTCCCATGATGATGCTATGGCTGCTATGGATCCCATGGCTGTGTTCAGTTCTTGGATTTTTTTCATGTACAGTACCATCTAGTTATGACTAACAGTTTGCCATGGAAAATCCCAAAAATAAATGGAGGTTTTAATGGGAAAATCATCTATAAATGGGCCATTTTCCATGGCTATGTTAGTCATAACCAGAGGGTAAAAAAACATACATGATCTTTGTCACGCCATGAACACACGCCCAGCCTCCAAGCTAATTGTGGACTTTCCAACAGCTGGTGGGCCAAAGATCAACAAGGCCTGAAGGCACTGGTTTTGTACTGAGGAGAAGGGTGCAGGAATTACCACCCTCCCACCCTTGGAAAAGGATTTAGGGGCTGCAAACAGAAGCACCCACAATATAAATGTGTAACCATGTGTGTATAGACTGTGTATGTATATTATATATTATATATACACATCCTTGCTGTGCTTCACAGATTCAATCGCGCTAATCTGTACGCCTGTACGCTTTGGCTCTGTGCCTGGATCGTCTTTGATAAAATAGAAATATCATGAAAGATCAACATCTGCCCATCCCATATCAAGCCATGATATGGCCATATCAGGCCCCCTCCATTCCTTAGGCCGATGTGGTACTTGGACCCTTTTGGCTGTGTGGAGGCCAACCTTAGCCATCCCCAATGGCCCCCATCATTGCCCAATTTCATCAACATCTCGGTGCTTCAAAAGCTCAAAAAGCAAACTGCCAGCGGAAACCATAGTGACTAAGTGTGACTAAGTCAAGTCACTTGCCGAAATATTTGCTGCCTCTGCTCCTCTGTGAAGGGTTTGGTCCTTGTAAAGCAGTCGCTGCAGGAAATGCTGCATCTAAAAGCAATGTGAATTGATTGCTTTCGCCATCCGACAAGTGCAAGCATGGGCAGGAAAAGAATGGGAACAACTTCTGCTCAAAATTCAAGGGTTCGGAGGTAGTCTGAGGCCCCAGATCTTCTTAAAAGATTTAAGGACGGAGCAAAAAAAACATTTCAAATGAAATCGACAACCAATTTATCAGCAACTGCTGATTGCATGAAACATTGCACAGGAATGCGTTGTGGTAAGCCATGAAAAATTCACCACTGCCGCATTTTTTCTGATAGGCTCCTTGCCCAGTATGTTTGCACTTGTTGTTTACTAGCTATCGCATGCAAAAAGTATTGACCGAATCAAACTGTGTGATAGGAGGAAACAGCCAGTGATTACATCATTTATGGTTCCATTGACATCATTGACATCATTGACAGCCGAAAAAAACAACCAATGGTTCTCAACCAACTCCAACGGATATCCAAGGCTCAACAACGATGCCAGCTCAGCTGGAATCTGATTTCGGACAACTCCTGGGTGCTGATAGCTGATAGTGGCTGTGAGTCGCTGGGACTCACATTTTTCTCATGTTTTCTTCATGAAAACTTAAATAAAACAGCTACTGTATATACAGCTATAGCTGGGTGATGTTGGTGAAAAATATCTGAAAATCATCGATTCGAACTAACTGGCTCATTCTGGTCGAGGTGCGGAAAATTTGGTCTCTGCCTTTTCCTTTCCGCAGGATTAAGTCATCCTTGGCCTCCAGAATGCAGAAAAATGCATGAACATGCACAGAAAATGAATGACATGATCTCAACATGATACCAAAAACTGTATATCCATGTAAATCCTGGATGCATGGCTGACATAGACGCAGGTTGCTTTCTTTACTCAGCTGAACAGAATTTCATGGGCCTGCGGTGCAGGCCCGTTCAGCATTCTGAGCCACAATGCTCTTGTCTTGAGCCGAACTCTGCGATGATTTTTCTTTTTAAAGACATCCAAAGTACCAACATGACTCGTGTGCTACGCGCTTCGAATGCCTTGGACCAAATATGGATGATACATGATGATACTAGCCACGACCCGGAAGCCGTAGCCAGAGCCAGACTAGCCACAGAGCCAGAAAATACGGAACACGGAACTGACAAAAAATGAAATCCGCCGAATCCGGCCCGCAAGGGGGAGCTCGTCAGGAGAGATAGGTTGACCCCTGCCGCCAACAACAACAACAGCAACAACAACAGCAACAACAACAGCAACAACAACAGCAGCAGCATCAGCAAAAGCAGCAAAAGCAGCAGCAAAAGCAGCAGCAGCAAAAGCAAAAGCAAAAGCAGCAAAAGCAACAGCAATAGCAACAGCAACAGCAACAGCAACAAGAAGAAGAAGAAGAACAAGAACAAGAACAAGAACACGAAGATGAACAAGAAGATGAACAAGAAGAAGAACAAGAATACAAAAATATAAGAATACAAGAATACAAGATCCGAGAGGTCTTCTTTGGAGACAGTTGCTTGTTTCTTGATCTATCTGTTCGGGAACTGTGGGCAACTGCTGGTGTTTGTTGTGACATTTGTGACAAAAACCTTACAATATATGGCAGCTGTTCAATCCTATTGTGGTCTTGCTGTCTCTCCGATGTTGGGGCTCACGAACTCCCCTCATTGGCTCTGGAAGTTTCATGGCTACAATTTTTGGGTGAGACGTGGCAGTTTGTACCAAACTCCCTGGTGAGACTTGAACTTCTGACACTCAGGTGACTCAGGTGTCAATGTGGAGATTGGGGGTCCGGAATTAAGTGGAATCCTGCACAAAGACTCCCAATCGTTTGAATTGCTTCAGCCAAAAGGGTCCCAACACACCAGGTTTGTTGCTACAACATGCTTCAACTGCTTCATGTCCATGAACCTTCTCCATGCTTCACTCAGACCTACTCCCAGAGCTCACATAAGCTATACATAAGCTCCTCACATTCTAATGCTCGAAGCCCTGCTTCTCTGCAAAACTCCTGAGCCGAACACACGATGCATCGATGTGTACTTGAGTCGCTAGAGTGAACAGATCAGCGAGACAAGAACTGATTGTGATAAAATAAGATCACTTAGATCATTTAGATCACTTAGATCGCTTAGATCACTTAGATCACTTAGATCACATGAGTTCGGATTTCAGCAGATTTCAGCTGTTTTTTTCCTCTTCGCGACCGCAACCCGGCGCTGACTCGATGCGACTGCTCCGCTCTGCTCCGCTCTGCTCCGCGCCTCAAGCGGTTGAAGACTTCGACCTTCAGCTTCTCCGGCAGCGTGGCCCTTCCTCTTGGAGCGATGTCGTTGATCATCTCCTCAACGGATCATCAACAAATCAGAGCAACAACTCAACGATCCTGGAAAAGACCATATGAAAATATGAGGAATATGAGAAAAAGTTGAGAAAAGATGTAGAGGCTACATTGCGATGCCACAAGGATATTGTAGATGATGAAGCCAGGCATTGGAAACTCACCCTCAGACGTCCTCAAGGGAGACTTTTTCCACTCCTTTGTCTTGAATGAATTGGACACACTGCTTCTTTAGCTCCTGCTTAAGTGCAGATCATCTGCTACAGCGCAAAAGAACGAAAATGGGTTTGTTTGATGTGTTGTTGTGTTTCAAAACATCGAAACGATGATATTCGGACAGAAAGATGAGGTATCCGCTGCTCGAAGAGAATCACAAGAGATGTGCCTCCCGCCAGCCAGATTCATTCAACTGGCTGGTGATGTACCTGCAGCAGAAACGACAGGTTGCTCACCAGTAGGAAAATAGAATATGCGCTGGAAACAAGTACCTAAACTGACCTAAACCCATTCACCGGCACACAAACTCAAAGATCTCAAAGGCACGAACACGCACTGTGTATCAAGACAAGCAAGGCAAAGGAAAAGGACCAAAGGACCAAAGGATACCCAAAGGGCCAAAAGGGCTCTCCAAGGGCACTCTTTCAGCCGTTCTTTTTCACCAGTCTCTTGCAACTTGGCATCCAGCATGCTCTGTTCCTCAGCCACATGACACGTCGAAAAGACCTCGCACACGCACAGTCACGCACAACTCGTCCAAGCCCCGTCCGAGGCGAGGGCCATGGCCTTCCGAGAGCGTTCATCCCCCATCCTATGAGAAACCCACCGGGGCAACCCAAAACGAAACGGAGCAGGATGGGTTGCCATCAAACATGACATAAATTCAGCGTCACACTATGTGTGACCAGATTTTTAGCTGTCTGGCTGTCTATGCTGATTCTGACTATCAGTGTAGAATTCGCAAAATGCGTTGCTAAGCCTTGATACAAAATTGCAGCTGTGAACGAAGATCAGACTGCCCACGTTCTGCACTGTGGTCCCCAGTGTCATGGTATGGTCTTCACCTGGAAACAAATAGCATTCTTCGCATCGTTGTCTCTACATTCTAGATCCGTCTGTACTGGGTATTTCTTCCACAAGTATGATCAAGTATGGCGGTCCAGGAATGTCACCTCAGCAAATAATCTTAAATACATCTTAATGTTCACCTTAATGTTCATCCTGTTTCTCACTATTCTATGGATTTCTAATGGATTTCTATGGGGTCTTTTGAGCTGTTGTGGCATGTTGTGGCATGTTGTGACATCGGGACTGGTCACAAGTACGACCTAGGCAAAGGTACCTCCCTTCGCGGCCTTTCTCCAAGGAAGCGCCTTCTGCACGACGCATTACTCCGAATATGGGGGTTCCACAAAGGTGGATTCCTCAAATGGCTGGTTTATAACAGAAAATCCATGAAAATCCCAATCTAAAATGGATGATGACTAGGGGTACCCCGATTTCAGGAAACCTCCATCTGAATAATATCGAATAATCCTACTTCACCTACTTCACTATGTACAATGCATACTGTGAGTCTACAGCTACAGCAGCTTCTGTTGAATGATTTTCCCAATCGAGCACAAAGGCAATTTGCCCGATGCTTTTCTCACCAGCCCTTCATATTGATGAGCGGCCTTAACCACAAAGCAGTGATGCTTATGGGAATGTTCGCAAGTTAAAATCGATGTGGAGTCAACAAACAACATTAAGAACTATCACAAGGGTCTGATTTAGCATTGGACTTCAAGGATCTTTTTTCGGCATTTTTAAAAGCTACAAGATGCTACAAGTGTTGAAGGATCTGTGGTCAGCGCTACCTCTGAGCTTCCAACTGCAAATGGTGAACAACCTGGACCCAGGATACCCAGGGCTTCACCGATATCGCACTCGAAATACTGCCAGAGTCTCCGAAAATCAGAGAAAAACCCTCAATATCTTGCAATATCCCAAATATGACATTCCCGTACCCAAAAAATGACCCCGACCTCCACCAAGTTTTGTTGGTTCTCCATGACGGTGTTCAAGTCCTGTGCTTCGGTGCTTGGGTGCTTCGGTGCTTCCAAGTTGCTTGTCGCATTGGCAAGTCCTGGGGTGCTTAACCGGTCCTTGTAGGCCATTGGAGCCTGATCAAAAATTGTGTGACCAATGGATTTAATGGCTTCAATGGACCACAAATCCTCTGCTGGTGGGAACTAGAAATGATCCAGTTTGATGTGTTCCAAAATGAGCTGTCTACCCCTGCTGGTTGCCATGAAAAATGATGAAATGAAAAAAACAGAGGTGCACCCACAGGATGGTGCACAGCTGAGAAAAAAATCGCCTCATCTCTGACTTTGTCCGCAAACTGCACATCCCAAACCTGAGTGCCGGTTGAGTTTTCAAAGGTTTGGGCTAAGGCGGTTGAGGATGGTCAGCATTCAGCACCGTTTCTTTGTGTTTCTTTATGCATTGACATGTTTTTTGAACATGTGCTGTGCATCTTGGTATCTTGGTGCCAGGACAATACCTCTTTTTTGCATGTGTCCAGCAAAGCTCTTCGGATCGATATTCCTTCACACTAGAAAGCTCAGGAAATGAAAGTGCAAAGTAAAGTTCAAAAAGTGAAAGTGACAGATCAACATGTGTTTGTTGGATCGGTCACACCCATTCTGACACAGCTTCACCAAATTTTCACAGAAACTTGAAGGCTTCTCATCAGAATTCCCATCAGAATTCCCATCAGGATTCCCATCAGGATTATGACTGAGTATGACTCAGCCAGGATATCTCAGGATGACGAAATAGTAAGAAACTCACTTTGGGACAGACTGAAGCTGCCGAAAGCGCTAAAAACATTTCCTGAAAGCTGCTGCCCTTGACATAGACCGACCAGCTCCATGAGAACAAGACCTCTGTGAGATCGCAGAGACAGAGACATGAAACACCATTAAAATCCATTACACCATATTAAACCCTTCAACTGTGGTTTCCTCTTTTCGATTCTTTTAGTTCCTCTTACTCTTTTAGCATCCTTGTCATTCCTTTAAGTAGTCTTTTCTGTCATCTTGTCTTGACTTCAATCTGTTCTTTCATATCTTTCATCTTTTATACATGATATATCAAGGTATATCTGTTATCTTCATTTGCGGCTGTGTTTGCAGTCGCTGACGGAAAAAGAGCCGAGCCACCGAGTTTGTTTTGTTGTTGGTCTCTGAGATCCCAACTGCCAAGACTCCGAGTCTCCCTTTCCACGAACGATGTATGATCCGGTGCCCATGCTACCGGGGATGATGCCCATCTGTCCAGCTTTGGCACTGGTCCTCAGGCTCACCAAAATCACCAAATCTCCAGTGTGAAACTGTGAGCTCAGCACAAATGCTGATAAAAACTAATCATATTTAATCAATGATCATCAATGTCCAAAAAAAAACGGAAATCTTTGCTTTTCGGATTCTTTCAGAAGGACTTTGGTATTTTTGCAAATGTGTGACACATGCATAGCAAAGATTGGCAAAGCACAAAACACACAGATCCATCTGCAGCAGTTTCTGTGAGGTTGGTACGCCCCTTTTTGTGTCACCCACAATTTTTCTTCCATCCACCTCTGCAAGTCAACGCTGATGTGTTCATCACGTGTGTTCATCACGTGTGTTCAGTGTTCATCCACATAATGTGCGTGACAAATTGTATTAATCTGTTTCTTCTTGGTCTGTTCATCTGTTTTTTCACCTGTTTGATGATTTTGATGGCTCTCTGCGGTTTTGCAAAATTCGAGGCTTTTGCTGCTCCTCCTTCGTGTTGTAATACCTGCCAAGAGTGTGAACTGGAATTGTTTGGACGCAACGACTGCAGCTCTGCATGTTTTCAATGTCAATCGTGTTCGATACAGTATGTGTTCAATATGTGTTCAATATGTGTTCAATCCATGCCTGCAATCTTCGCATTCGCAGTAGTTGTGGTGGATGTTCACCTAGGTGAGGCCATGCTGTGGCGCCATGGCACTGGCCCTACCACTGGCCGTCGTGGCGGCCGTGAGGCATCAGCCATCTTCTCCCAGACGGCATCACGACGGGTTTGCCGCTTGATCACCTCTGCAAAAGCTTCAATCATGAAGTGCCTCAAGGCCAGCCAAGGTCCAAGGTCCAGAATGTGGCATTCAAAAGTATTCAAACAGATAGAAAGGAAGAATTGAGTTAATGGAGTTAATTGAGTCGTTCCTTCCTATTTAATTCCTAGTGTATACTACACACATAGAATGCATTGCCATTTCCTCGCTTCTGAATCGACCAGGCAAAGATGACTTTTTGAGGCAGCCGGTAAGAAAAACAGGTCAGAAAAACACACTTAAAGGTGAAGCCAAATGATCATCGAGATAGTCCCGTTTCGGTCCACCTTTCGAAGGAAAATCTCAGGTTGTGGCCGATTCTCCCAAGCATATGCCTGGCAGAAGGTCATGTCCCTGAGGTACTGCTGTCCTTGGTGAAACTGAAGTTAAACTGACACATCCTGACGGTCAACTTACGTAGCTACGACCTTGAGACACCGACCTTGCTCGGATTCAATCCTGCAGGATGAACAAACAAATATCTAAATGATACAGACATATACAGACTAGAATTTGATGCAAGCTAAGGCAGCTAAGGGTTTGGAGGCCACTTTATGAAAAATGATCTTCAATGATTTTCAATGATTTTCAATGATATTCAATGATATTCAATGATATTCAATGATATTCAATGATATTCAATGATATGCAATGATATGCAATGATATGCAATGATATGCGATGATATGCGATGATATGCGATGATATGCGATGATATGCGATGATATGCGATGATATGCGATGATATGCGATGATATGCGATGATATGCGATGATATGCAATGATATGCAATGATATGCAATGATATGCAATGATATGCAATGATATGCAATGATATGCAATGATATGCAATGATATGCAATGATATGCAATGATATGCAATGATATGCAATGATATGCAATGATATGCAATGATATGCAATGATATGCAATGATCTGCAATGATCTTCAACGATCTTCAACGATATGCAACGATCTTCAACGATCTTCAACGATCTTCAACGATCTTCAACGATCTTCAACGATCTTCAACGATCTTCAACGATCTTCAACGATCTTCAACGATCTTCAACGATCTTCAACGATCTTCAACGATGTCCAACGATCTTCAACGATCTTCAACGATCTTCAACGATCTTCAACGATGTTCAACGATGTTCAACGATGTTCAACGATGTTCAACGATCTTCAACGATCTTCAACGATGTTCAACGATGTTCAACGATCTTCAACGATCTTCAACGATCTTCAACGATCTTCAACGATCTTCAACGAT